CACCTCCCAGTGCTGTGGTTGGTGTCTTCCCTTCCCTGTCCCTCCGGCGAAGCCTTCAGGGAGGTGAGGGACCAGCGGAGGCCAAGGTGGCTCCTTTCCCATCACCAACAAAGAAGGACACACGCCATGAGAGGCAGGGCAAAAGAGGACGCCGGCTTGCCTAATTTCGCGTGTGCTAACTTCATTGGTGCATGTGCGAATCTGTGTTTTTAAAATCAATCGGAAAACATAGACCCAGAGCGCAAGTGACTTGATGGGGGAAGGTGGTGACCCGGGGGGCTGTGCGTATGCCCTGGGCACCGCTAGGGGTAGGCACGGCTCTCACTCCAGGGGCTCCTGGACCTTCGCATCAGGCCCGGACTAGAGGGCGCTTCCAGTGGAGGATGCTTTGGCAAGGGGCCTTGTGCCCTGGCAACCCTGAAAAGGGCATGGGGCCCAGCCAGCGGAGGGTGGGTGGGGAGCTAACAGGGAGGGGTCAAGGCCAGGGTCTCCTCTGGAGGCTGCTGGCGGGAGGGGGGGCACCGCGATCCCTCCCTCAGTCCTTCAGTTGGCATTCCATGCCTTCTCCACTCCCATCATCGCTCATTTTTGTGAAACTGCTGTTGTGCTAACCAAGGTGCAATCTTGGTCAAACTCCTCTTCGCTGGTGTGATTTCATCTCTTCGGAAGAGGCAGCTCAGAAGCCTGCGACCAAGAAAGCCATGGCCTCTGCTCAGAAATAAATAATGCCAATTAAGCGAGTTTACCTGGCTTTTGGGTTGTTGTGTTTTTTTAACCTGTTTTGAAGAGATACATTTCTCAGCAATCCGGGTTTGTGTGTTGTTGTTGTGCGTGTGTTTTTGTTAAGAAAATGACTGAAAGAAAGGAGTGACTTGGAAAGGCAATAAACTTTGGTGCCGGAGCGCCTGCTTTACATGTAAGAGGATCTCTCCCGGCTGAAGCCCTGCCATTCTCGAGTGGGGCTGGAAAAACCGTCCAAAACCCTGCCATGGGGAGGGGGGGGTAGACTGCCAATTTGTATCAACCAAGCCTGGCAAGAGAGACTACTGGTCTGAAGTGGCAGAAAGTGGCTCCGAACCTGAATCATTGCTTTCAGAAAGCAATTTTCCATTCATTTAGAGTGGTTTTGTATCTTTCAGTGCTATAGCGTGGTAGCACTCAAATAAAGAAAAAGGATCTTTAAAATACCGTTTACGAATTTCATTGCATTTGTAGCCCTCACTACAAGCAAACAGAAAGGGAGGCAAAAAGAACAGGGTTGCCTCCCACTTGGTGCATCCCCGATGGCTTTCTCTGGACATGCCCAGCGACTGCATCGAGGACCAATATAGACCGAACTACACAAGTCAAAAGCAAAACAAAATAATACAACTGGAAACGTTACCCCCCCCCAAAAAAAAACAACCCAGAAGCCCCGGGAGATGAACAAAATATAACAGATCAGGGCTACTTGTCATCAGTACTAACCTTGTATGGCCAACTTGTTATTGTCTCTCCCCCCCCCATCCCGCTCTGCCTGTAATTTCCCACAACCCAGGAATCTGCAGCCGTTAAAAACAGTATGGCGGGTAGACATTCCTCACAGTACAGCTAACAGAACCGCATCATTTGCTAAAACTTAAAAGAACAACAACCGTGGACTTGGGTCCTGCTCCCTTAATCCCTGTACATGATGAACCAAGCATGGAAAGAGTGGGGTTAAGAATCTTAAATATTTGCTGTTTAGGAAATACAAAGTGGGAAAAAAACGAAATTCCTTTGGCCTGAATGGTCACCTCTGCAGGTCACCATGAGATACAGCTTGTATTAATAGGACATTGCTTGAGAAATGAGTTGCACAACAGAAAGCTGAATCAACCCAAGGCTTGTCTTTCCCATTTCCTGTTTGCTTCTGGCTTATTTCCCTCCGGCCCCTTTGGCCAGCTCCCATTTCAGGGCGGTAAGCTGGGGAAACAAGCCAGGAACAAGCCTTCATTGTGACTTTACACATTACAACAAGCCAGAATTGTAAGCCAGCAAGAAACTATTTTAATTTTTCTTATTATTATTTGTTTTATTTTAATTATTGGCTCAGAATGTGATTTACAGCTATTGAACAAATCGGAGCTTGTTAACAGGTATGGGTTTGCACATCATAACAAACCAGGTTTTAACAAACAGCACTTAGACAGTAATGTACGAACACAGGCAGGGTCTGTTCTGTGTACCATTGTGTGGTGGGGACCACAAAGTAGTACTTCCAGGGCTTCTACAAATGCTTGACTATTTTGACAAATCTCTTCATAAATGGCCTCCCAGTGTCTTCTGTTACAACACGACTAGCACCTTCCTTGCAGGCAGCAAAATACCAAGGGACAGTCCACGTCTATGGAAGTAACTCTAACCTGCTCCTCTAGATTTGAGGACTATGTTTCACTGTCCTCAAGCCTTTCATTTTTGAAACCAATGTATATACAGTATGTGTATATAGTCATGTTTCTGTGGTGTTAGTAGAACTAACACCCAATGTATATACAGTATGTGTATATAGTCACATACTAACACCACTAGCCACTCAGAGTAGACTTGTATCTAGATGGGCGGGGTATAAATTTAATAAATAAATAAATACAATAAATAAAACTGAAGGACATTGGAGACTCCCAGTTAAATCCAAAAATTTAATAGAGTTTTGCTGAAACAAGTGGAGGGATGGAACTTTTCGTCTTCAACAACAACAAAATTCTTGTCGTATTACAAACAGGTGCAAAACAACTCTTAGAAAAGTTCTATAACTCGCTTGATGGTTGGCTTCATTTCTCCTTCACACTAAACATGAAGAGAGTCAATCAGATTTGTCGGAGAGTGAATTTATTTTCCATGTCTTGTTTATTGCAGTTTTTCAAGCTGCCTATTTAATCACGGAATGGAAAAGTGGAAACTTCACAGTCCTGTTTAAAAACAAGCTGTCACCGACTTCCTAGGTGGATTGAGCTCAAGAACTCAAGCGGCAATGGTCTTTTTCCTATGCCTCTAGTATCTGATACAGTTTGGGTTTCTACTTGCCCTTACCAGTGCTTTTGATCTTGAAGGCGACCAGTAGCAAATTATGAAGAAAGAAATAACCCATTTCTTTCACTTTGGGGATGGGGGTGTCACCTAATGCTCAAAGACTACTCTTCAAATAAGACCAAGGAAAACTCTTCAGGAGAGTCGTTTTTCTCCACAGCAAAGACAGACATATCTTGGCTGCTGAAGGTCTCCTCCTCCTCCATGTCAAATGCCATAGCTTCACTAGATTCCTTAAGATCCACAGTGCCCTTGCTTCCTGCCATGGGGGAAGTTTTGACTTTGTTCCAACAGTTGTTATTGTTTGGATAACTGGACAGGGCCATGGGAGCGGTGCTGCTGTCCAGGCAAGGACTGAGCTGCTTGGTTTGGGCATTCTTGCGCCGTGGCACTGAGAATGATTTCTTTAAACCTGGGGAGGAATACAGAAGCCAGTTAACAGCTTTCTAAAGAACCAAATGATCATCTGTGTGCAGGAAAATCAATACCTTTAAGATGATACGGAGTCATTTCAGTCATTCTGGAGCAAAACAACCCTTTCTATGGCCTTCAGAAGTGCTAAACAGGTTTTATAACTCAAAAATGTTTCACAATGTAGGATTCTCTTCCCCTCTGTGACTTAGAAAGTTCTCTCCTTTACCTTTCTGGCCATTCAGATGTCCCCTTGCTTTGCCAGATCTTTGTTCCACAGTTACAGCTTTGTAGGGAGGTGTCACTCTTCGACTTTTCTTTGACAAAGAGACAGTATCTGTCATTTCTAACTTGCTTTTCTTGTCCCCTGTGTGAACAAGTTAGATATAGGCGATTTTCTTTCTTCTTCTTTTTAAAAGCACACGTCTAGCACTCAAGGTTACCTAGTTGAGGCTGTCAATAACTTGTGTTTGTTTGCACTCAACATTATAGAGCTGAGCTTAAACAATAAACAAAAGAACTCAGAGGTAGAAGCTGCTAGAAAGCATGGCTTTATGGGTCAAACTCACCTTTCTTGTTGATTTTCTTGACATTCCCATCAGGTTTTGTCAGCGGCACAGCAGGAAGAAGCTGGAATACAGATACACTTTGTTAGTCGGGAAAAAAAGAATACAACCCAAATCTAAAGTTAGCTAATTAGTATCTTTTTCTAAAAGCACCTTCCTTGCAATCAGCTCTTTAATTTATTGGATACTTAATGCATGATGGCTTTCTGCAGCGTTCAAAGTAGAAAAAAAAATTAGACCTAAGCATGTCTGCTAATGCAAGGACTGAATCTTTTCCCAGCCAACCTTTTCTTGATTCTTGTTTGATCTTGCTGTATTCTTATTCTCACTCTCTGGTCCTCCCCAAGCTCTCTTGGCAGGAGGCTGGCAGGAGATATTGACATGATCTACAATAAGATAAAGCGCAGTGAGTGAAACTGTATGTGAGGTGTATCCCAGGTGAGGAATCTGCTTTTTAGTTTCCTATCTGATTACAACTCACAACTGTATTCAAAACTACCTTTTAAGCGTTTGGGCGACTCTCTCCTGTTGAATCGGCTGAAGAATCCAAACCTCCTTATTCTCTCCTGATGTTGTGAAAAAGAAAATAAAGAGAAGAAATGATGTGCTAATGCTGTAAAAACAGAGGGAGCTTCCAGAAGGTCTGTGCATCCTGCCTTCTACTGTAGCATGCCACCATTCCAGATTTATATCCACAGGTTAAGCTGGTTGTTCAGGTGGCCCTGAGGGAAGAGCACTTTGCACCATTTCAAGGGCACTCTCCTCTTGTATCACAGATTCCAAAGCAAATCCCTGGCTCTGAAAACCTGCTCCGTTGTGGCCTCAGATAAATTGCTAGGCAATCCTTCCCAAACATACCATGGAGGAGCTACTTACCTAATATTAAAAAACAGGACATTCATCATCACGAAAGAGGTCCAAGGAGGAAACTGGTTTGCATAAAGCTGCAAATGCTAATTTGTATGTAATAATGCAATATTAGAAACAATTTTACTGTATAATTTAAACAAAATTACAAGGCATTTCTCTTGCACAGGAAGACCAGGATCAGGTGATGTGTGCCTGATTATTATTATTATTATTATTATTATTATTATTATTATTATTATTATTATTGTATTAGTATTAGTATTAGTATTAGTATTAGTAGTAGTAGTAGTAGTAGTAGTAGTAGTAGTATTTTATTATTATTATTATTATTATCAAATCAGCTTTCAAACTGAAACCACTTTCAAAAGGAGTATTGTCTTTTTAAAGTCTTTTATAAACTGGAGACCATCTTCCCCTGAAAGAGCACATGTGGCCACCCTGACATGGAGACAGGCCTTTGACTTCCTTCCCCACGGCTGAATGTGGGCTGGTCTGCATTAACTGAAATGAGTGCTTGCAGAACAGGTGTCCACCACAGGGCCAAAGCCACAGACCCCGGCATGCACTGACATTGCCAACTCAAGCGAAAGCATAAAACTGGGGTTTAAGGATGCTGGAGCCAAATATTTCAATAGCTACATCATTCTGCAAGATATTCCTCAAGGACTCAAGTTTCTTCTGAAAGTGCAAGTGAAAAGTTGAGATTTCAGGTGATGTGTGTTCAGAAAGTATGGGTGTTGCTGTTGTTTTAAAAGAGGTAGCCTGTTAGTCTGTGCTGGCATATCAGGCAAAAACAGAAAGTGGACTTGTCTATGAAAGCTCACATTAAAATCTGTAAAGCAGTTAGTCTTTTAAGGTGCCACAATGTTTTTGTCTTTATTTTTCCATTTCCCTTTTGTTTTTCCCTGAGATGTTGTGTTGGTGTGTACAGGAAAAGAAGGAAGTTTACCCCATTGCAATTAAGGTGCATTCCAAGTGATCCTGCACTTTGATTATCTTCCTTCCAGATGATACTATGAGAAGAACTGAAGGATGGCCTCATCTCACTCCCCCGTTCTATCACTTGCTAATGAATACTTGTAACTTTTAAGATTCCCATATCAGAATGAGCCATTGTCAACTCTGCTACCTCAGTTTCCTTTCCCACATACAAAAAGACACACTGGCAATAGTGCCATACCTTGCTAACCATAGCACTGTGAGTCTTTTCTCTGACTGTTTCTTTTTCAGCT